CTAATCAAGCTAGCCAAACATTCACACCTGCTTCCAGCAGACAAGAGTTCTTTCTCCCATCTTGGACATCATTCCAAAAGGATATATATAATCCCCACTTGCCTTGCTTCCAAAAGAGCTCACAGCGTCTGAGCATGCCTGCCATAGATGGAGGCGAAATGTCAGGAGAGAATGCTTCTGGAACACAGCCAGAACCAAATGATTCTGGCCATGAAAGCCTTCGATAACACGCTGTCAGAAGTGTATCTAGGTCATGTAGAGGCTATTCCTATTTATCTACACCAAAGATCTGGAAACTGATGCCTTGCTGTTCTTTTCTCTCCTGCCCTTTCCTGCTTCCTTCCACAGAGAGAAGGTCAACAAAGGGATTGGCATTGAGAATATTCACTATTTAAATGACGGCCTCTGGCACATGAAGACGTATAAGTGAAGTGGCAGATGAGTCGCAGCTCTGACAGATTGCACTCCCTGCCATTGTGGACTACTTTGTAATTCTGTTTTTATGCGTGACTGAATGTACAAACTTATTTTGTTCTGTGGCTATGCTAAATAAATCAAGTGAATGCTGAAATGGTGTTGCGACTCTACTTTCACGTTGTAAAGAAGTATTCCTTTCAGTTTTCCAAACGAGGTGGAACACCTCAAGCGTCTTTGGAGATTACATTGTGAAAGTGGTGATACAGCTTTGATTTGTTAGCTGTGGGAGTTTGGAGGCAGCTTTCGTCCTTCCGATATTTATTTACTATATTTATATACCGCCATTCTCAGCCCGAGGGCGACTCAGGCAACTATTTGTATCCATCAGCATTAGCCATGCTGGGTAAAGCATTTTAGAATCAACATTTGGGAACATCCAACAGACTTGAACTTTTGCCTTTAGCCTAAAGGAAAATACCATATATCGAGTATAAGCTGACCCGAATATAAGCCGAGGCACCTAATTTTAGCACAAAAACAGAAAACGTATTGACTCGAGCACAAGCCGAGAGTGAGAAATGCATCAACTATGGGTACATTTCAAAATAAAAATAAATACCAATAAAATTACATTAATTGAGGCATCAGAAGGTTAAATGTTTTTGAATCTATATAAATAAAAATGTAATGTTTGTTTGTGGGATCAACACAACTCAAAAACCACTGGGTGAATTGACACCAAATTTGGACACAAGACACGTATCAAGCCAACGAGTGACCATCACTCATAAAAACACTGAAAAACACAGTGGAAGAGACTTTAAAAGCCGACCCCCCCTCCCCAAATACATTACAATGCATGCACAAAACCACACACACACATGCAAACACACACATATATACTTATACACAAATATATACACACACAGAACACATATACACAGACTGGGCCACAGCAACGTGTGGCAGGGGACAGATAGTATTTACATAAAAGTGTAATATAAGATAAGGCTGTCCAACTGATTAACCTTCTTCAATGCAAATGTGCTTACATTGTTGTTCATTCGTTCAGTCGTCTCCCGACTCTTCGTGACCTCATGGACCAGCTCACACCAGAGCTCCCTGTCGGCCGTCACCACCCCCAGCTCCTTCAAGGTCAGTCCAGTCACTTCAAGGATGCCATCCATCCATCTTGCCCTTGGTCGGCTCCTCTTCCTTTTGCCTTCCGTTTTCCCCAGCATCATTCCCTTCTCTAGGCTTTCCTGTCTCCTCATGATGTGGCCAAAGGACTTCCACTTTGTCTCTAGTCTCCTTCTCGCCAGTGAGCTTTAGTCGGGCTTTATTTCCTGGAGGATGGACTGGTTGGATCTTCTCGCAGTCCAAGGCACTCTCAGAACTTTCCTCCAACACCACAGCTCAAAAGCATCTCTCTTCCTTACATATCTTCCCAATAATCACCATAGTTTATTTTGGGGGAAATGCTGTGCGCATATGAATAAGGCAAAGTGGGAAAAACTGGCGTGGGAAGGGGATGGGAAAAAAGGACTGCAAACGTGAAAACGTTGGAATGAAAATGTTGAAAAAGTGGGGAAATGAGGTGGAAAAGGGTGGCTGGAAAAGTAGGACAGATTGGGGCGGGATGGGGGAATGACTGAGGTGTGAGAAAGGGGTGGAAACCGGGAAAGGCTGAGATAGAACGGGTTGTAAAAGTGGAAAAGACCCCAGTCTAGAGTGTTAAGGGGGAATTCCTTTCCCTCCTTTCCCCCTTTCCTTCTCTCCCATTCCTTCTTTCTCATTTTTCCTTTGCCCCTAACTTCCCTCTCACCTCCTTTCCTTTCTTTTCTCGCTCCTTCCGTCTCTCTCTTTTCCTTCCTTCCTTCTCCCATTCCTTCCTTCCTTCTTTCTCCTCTTCTATTGCCAACACTTCTATTGCTGCTTTTGCAAAGGAGAAGGGTGGTGATGCAACATGCCCCTTTCTCTCCCACTTTGGGGACCAGGACCACTGAGAGACAGGAGAGGAAGAAAGGCAAGCACAAGAGAAGGGAAGAGGAAGGCAAGTGTGCAAGAGAGGAGTTTGCTGTGCAGAGAGATGATGGTCCTGGTGAGAAGGTGTGGGGCTGAAAGGGCTTCTTTCAGCCCCACGACTTCCCACCAGGGCTCTCATTCGAGTATATGTCGAGAGGGGCTTTCTCAGTCCCAAAAAGGGCTGAAGAACTAGGCTTATAATCATTTTATTATATATTCAGTTTTTGTGTGTGTCAGGAGCGATTTGAGAGTGCAAGTCGCTTCTGGTGTGAGAGAATTGGCCATCTGCAAGGATGTTGCCCAGGGTATGCTGCCCAGATGTTTTGATGTTTTATCATCCTTGTGGGAGGCTTTTCTCATGTCCCTGCATGAGGAGCTGGAGTTGACAGAGGGAGCTCATCCACGCTCTCCCCAGAGTCGAACCTCCGATCTGTTGGTCTTCAGTCTGAACATGAGGAAGAACTTCCTGACTGTGAGAGCCGTTCAGCAGTGGAACTCTCTGAACCGGAGTGTGGTGGAGGCTCCTTTGGAGGCTTTTAAACAGAGGCTGGATGGCCATGTCAGGGGTGATTTGAATGCAATATTCCTGCTTCTTGGCAGAATGGGGCTGGACTGGATGGCCCAGGAGGTCTCTTCCAACTCTTTGATTCTAGGATTCCTGCCAGCACAAGGGTTTAATCCAGGGATCTTCAAACTTTTTAAAATAAATTGGCTGATGATTTACAATTGTTGTGTTCCTTCAAGTCGTTGACCCTGAGCAAAGGCTGGGCAAATGACCTTGGAGGGCCATATCTGGCCCTCGGGCCTTAGTTTGAGGACCCCTGGTTTAATCCAATGGATGCTTTCTGTAGAATCTAATTTTTCTGAAGGGTTCCAGCTATAAGAAGCAGCACATGAAGGCACTGCACAAGAATGGCAATGTTCACATCAAGAGGTGACAGTATCCCACAACAGTGGGAATTGGACTCTTCCCCTCAAACACTATCATTAAGACCTGCTTCAGATTCTGAGGGAAACCGGTTCTACCAGACATACACCACTGAGTCGTGCCCTTCGTTTTCTGGCCTAGGCTAAGCTTTCTATGCAGAGCAGAAGGAAATAGGGATTTTCTTTGCATTTTTGTCTGAGCTGAACATTGTGTGTGTATATATGTGTGTATATATATATATATGGGAGGGCCTTTGCACAATTAAGACTCCTGCGCCAGCTGCGACCGTACCTCGTGAAGTCGGATCTGGCCAGGGTGGTCCATGCCTTAGTCACCTCCAGATTGGACTACTGTAATGCACTCTACGTGGGGCTGCCCCTGAAGACGGCCCGGAAATTTCAATTGGTACAACAGGCGGCAGCCAGGTTACTAACTGGTGCTTCTTACAGAGAGCAGTCAACCCTCCTGTTTAAGGAGCTCCATTGGCTGCCATTCATTTTCTGGTCCCAATTCAAGGTGCAAGTTCCTACCTACAAAGTCCTGAACAGTTTGGGACCCGCCTACCTGCGTGACCGCATTTCTGTGTACAAACCCACACGGTCTCTTCATTCATCTGGAGAGGCCCTGCTCGCGCTCCCGCCTCCCTCGCAGGCGTGATTGGTGGGGACGAGGGAGAGGGCCTTCTCGGTGGTGGCCCCCCAACTCTGGAACTCACTTCCCAGGGATATCAGGCATGCCCCAACTTTGGCAGTCTTTAGGAGGAGCCTGAAAACGTGGCTGTTCCAGTGTGCCTTCCCGGAATAAGGAAATAATTCCCAGCAAAATGTCCTGAAAATGCACTTTAACTATCCGTTGGATTGCGCTCCCCTCACTTCTTTAAAACCCTCCTATTAGATATATCCTACCTTATTCATGCCCAGCGTTTATTTTAAAATTTTTAACTATTCCATCTGGTCCAGCCATAGGTTAATGTTATATGTGATTTATATTAATTGTATTGTTATTTTTTGTTTATTGCTTTCTTGTTTATTGATGTGTTGTTGGGCTTGGCCTCATGTAAGCCGCTCCGAGTCCCTTGGAGAGATGGAGGCAGGGTATAAATAAAGTATTATTATATTACTAGCCGTCTCCTGCCAAGCTTGCTGTGGCCCAGTCTGTGTATATGTGTTTTGTGTGTATATATGTGTATAAGTGGTTTTGCGCATGCGTTGCATTTTTATTTTTTGATTTTAAGTCCCATCTGTTGTGTTTTTCAGTGTTTTTATGTGTGATGGTCACTCGTTGGCCTGACAAGTGTATTGTGTCCAAATTTGGTGTGAATTCGCCCAGTGGTTTTTGAGTTATGTTAATCTCACAAACGAACATGACATTTTTATTTATATATTTTGCGCATGTGTTGCATTTTTATTATTTTATTTTAAGTCCCTTCTGTTGTGTTTTTCAGTGTTTTTATGTGTGATGGTCACTCGTTGGCCTGACAGATGTCTTGTGTCCAAATTTGGTGTCAATTCGCCCAGTGGTTTTTGAGTTATGTTAATATCACAAACGAACATGACATTTTTATTTATATAGATGATGATGATGATTATTATTATATATTCCTGAAAGACAGAACACACAAACTGCCCCAAACTGTAAAAATAGATTTAATTTACAGCAGACTGAGGATAATTTGATTTTTAAATATTTACATCTCCCTATACATTTCTGTCGACAAAGAAACCCTTAGATAGATTTTCAGTTTGTATAAAAGGATCATGACTTTGCTTTAAAAAAGAGGACCTCTTTTCCCACTTGTAAAGGTTACAAAAGCAGGTTGTGCAAAAAAGTTGTCACACACCGATACCATCAAGTAAGTACAAAATCTGGATCACCTTGTGTACATGCCGTTTGCTGACGGACACTAAAAGATTTAAGACTACGTGCTCGGCATTGCTGTTCCCGCGCCACCGTCTTCAGTCATTATCCGAGCCTGGCGGAGGCAGGAAGACGAGCGCGTCGTTGAAAGTGTGCCCATAGGCTCGGAGTCTGTAAACGCCATACATCATGACGTGCATGTGGTTGGGAGCTACTCCACTGAAAGTGATCGCCATATCTGAGCAGCAGCCTTCCACCACCTCCTGAGGGTGACTTGACATGGCCTCTTTGATGAGAGAACCAATCGGCTTCGTGTTGAAGACGTCCTTTTTCTCAGAGTCCTCCGCGTTCTCGGCATGGATCCCGCTGTACTTCAAGCAGACGGCCAACTGCTTGTCTTCGGACAGTTTCCAAATCATGCCTCCCTGTTCCGGACATTTATCCGGCTCCTGGAAAATCTTGTAAAGCCGCCGGAGCGACTCGACGCTTAGCACGATCCCTCCGTCCACATTCACATACTGCAGGTCCCCGGACGTCTCGGTGCGGCCTGTGTAAAACGGTTCGGATGAGTCCTGCCTCAGCAAAAAGTATTTCAGATTCTCAATAATGGCGAAAGTGCTGGGACGGGCCAGAAAGAACCAGTTGTAGCTGTCTCTGTAGTTCTCGTAGGCCAGCGTGTACGCTTTCCGCATCATTGTCCACATGTCGTCCGTGTCGAGGACAATGGAGTCAAAGACTTTGACTTTCTCCGAGCTGTAGAATTCGGCTTTGTCGCAATGCTTGCTCCAGGTCTCTCTCACGGCGGCCCAGTGGCCCAGGTCCTTCGGCTTGACCAGGATGATGCAGTACACGCGGATGCTCCGGCTCAGTTCCAGCCGCTCGTCCTTGGAAAGGTTCAGAATGTCCTCCTTTTTGGGAGCCTGGAGGTGACGGTGCTCGTGGGGCTTCGTGGTGTGGCCCATCTTAATGTGTCCCAGGAGGCTCACCAAAATGCAGAAGATGCCCCCCAGCATCATGCCCTTCACGAACGAGCCGCTTTCAGAAATCATGGTTCCTAGAAGAAACACAAAATTATTGTTTCCATTTGATGTTTTGTCTTTTTTTAATTTTTTTATTATTATTGTATAATACATAGAAACATATCATCTTTGAAAGTAACATTCAAAATACCAGTATTTTCCCCAATCCCACCACCACCACAATCCCCCCGCCCCGCCCCGGGAACAAATAAGTACTTTAGCTGTGTTTATTACAATTGTTCAATCATGAGAATAGTTTTGTTCAACACCGTATATTTATCTTTCCCCTTTATTCTATATATGAGACCCTTCCATTTTGCTTTCCATGTCCTTTTGCTTTGACCCGTCATATAGTAACTTTTCCTTTCGCAAATATAATCTTGAAGAAGGTAATCTGGCCGGGGTGGTCCATGCCTTGGTCATCTCTAGATTGGATTACTGCAATGCGCTCTATGTAGGGCTGCCCTTGAAAACGGCTCAGAAATCCCAACTGGTCCAACGAGCAGCAGCCAGGATTTTAACTGGTGCTCCTTACAGAGAGAGGTCAACCCTCCTGTTCAAGGAGCTCCACTGGCTGCCGTTTATTTTCCAAGCCCAATTTAAGGTTCAGGTGCTTACCTACAAAGCCCTGAACGGTTTGGGACCATCCTACCTGCGTGACCGCATCTCTGTCTACGAACCCACACGTTCACTTCGGTCATCCGGAGAGGCCCTGCTCATGATCCCACTGGCGTCGCAAGTGCGCTTGGTGGGGATGCGAGACAGGGCCTTTTCTGTGGTGGCCCCCCGACTCTGGAACACCCTCCCAAAAGATCTTAGACAGGCCCCTACATTGGCAGTCTTCAGAAAGAATTTGAAGACCTGGCTGTTCCGATGTGCCTTCTCAGATTAGGAATCTCCAATACCAATGTCCTAGAAGCACTTTAGTAGAACCAAGATCACTGCACACCGCACACTGCACTTACTTTATAATCCTACATTCCTCCCGCCACATCAGCATTTTTAATCCTGTACCCACTACTCTGGCCGGCCCAGTTTTAAAGTGTCTTGATGTATTGTTATTGTTGTTGTTTAGTTTGCTTAACTGTTTTTAATTTGCTTTAGGTATTGTTTTGTTGTATTGTGTTTTGGGGCTTCGGTCTGTGTAAGCCGCATCGAGTCCTTCGGGAGATGCTAGCGGGGTACAAATAAAGTAATAATAATAATAATAATAATAATAATAATAATAATAATCTGCTAAATATTTATACCAGGTTTTTGTATCCCATTTCTTGTGGTCTTTCCAGCCCAGGGCCACTGAGGCTTTAATTCCCTCTATCATATGTTTTATTATTTCCTCACTTTCCTTATATTCCTCTTTACTTTCGAATTTCTGAGTGAAAAATTGGGCCTTATTTGTCTTATGTCTGTTATAACAGGCTGTTAATTTTAATTTCTTAAGTTATAACTTGTATTTATATGTTGGGTTGTATAAATTTTGTTAGTATGGATGTATTGTTGTATACGGGCATTGAATGTTTGCCTTTTATGTTTGGAATCGGAGCCCGCAGTGGGTTAAACCCCTGTGCCGGCAGGACTGAAGACCGACAGGTCGCAGGTTCGAATCCAGGGAGAGCCGTTCAGCAGTGGAACTCTCTGCCCCGGAGTGTGGTGGAGGCTCCTTCTTTGGAAGCTTTTAAGCAGAGGCTGGATGGCCATTTGTCAGGGGTGATTTGAATGCAATATTCCTGCTTCTTGGCAGAATGGGGTTGGACTGGATGGCCCAGGAGGTCTCTTCCAACTCTTTGATTCTATGATTTTATGAGAGGTGGATGAGCTCCCTCTATCAGCTCCAGCTCCTCATGCGGGGACATAAGAGAAGCCTCCCACAAGGATGATAAAACATCAAAACATCATCCAGGACTCCCCTGGGCAACATCCTTGCAGACGGCCAATTCTCTCACTACTACACAATATCCCAGAGTACTTGTAAGATATCAGCACGAACACAAAACAATCTATGCGTAATGTCAAAGTGTATTATCAAAAAAGCATATAATATTCTATTTACCAAAATCCACAGCACATAGCTTAATTCAGTGGTACACAGAAATCAAAAGAGCAACCGCTCTCAAACGTAACAGTTCTGGGTTTGGATAGGGATTCCACTGTGTATAGGCTTCAGGGATACATTCAATGAGAAAAGTCATATAAACAAAGTAAGCATTGAGTCATGAGGCTATATGTAAACTGAAGACAATGATGAGGATGAAGCGCCACTCTCAAAACAATCTTCATGGAAAAGCTTGTGCGCTAAAGCTTGTGCGCCAGCTGCGCCCGTACCTTGGGAAGTCTGACGTGGCCACGGTAGTCCACGCTCTGGTTACATCCCGTTTAGACTACTGCAACGCTCTCTACGTGGGGTTGCCTTTGAAGACAGCTCGGAAGCTCCAACTAGTCCAACGCTTGGCAGCCATGATTCTAACAGGAGCGGAGCGCAGGGAGCATACAACCCCCCTGTTGCGCCAACTCCACTGGCTACCGATCTGCTACCGGGCTGAATTCAAAGTGATGGCGTTGGCCTTTAAAGCCCTAAACGGTTCCGGCCCAAGCTACCTATCTGACCGCATCTCTGCCTATGAACCCACCAGGAGTTTGAGATCTTCCGGGGAGACCCTGCTCTCGATCCCGCCTGCTTCTCAAGCTCGGCTGGCGGGGACGAGAGATAGGGCCTTCTCGGTGGTGGCTCCTCGGCTGTGGAACGCCCTTCCTACGGACATTAGACTAGCACCATCTCTAATGGTATTCCGCAAAAAGGTGAAGACCTGGATGTTTGTGCAGGCGTTTGAGTAATTTAGTGCAATCTGGTAATGGAACATAGGAATGGAACAAGGGACGACGAACCTGGACTACGCTTGGATGATGAGAAGATTGGGTACGGTTGTTTTTTGTAATAATTGTGCATTGTAATTGCTTATTGGAAATTTATGGATAATGTGTTAAGTCAATTGTTATATGTTGTATGGAACCACTGCTGTTTCTACTGTTTTTACTGTTTGTGAACCGCTGTGAGTCGCCTTCGGGCTTGAGATACAGCGGTATATAAGCAAAGTAAATAAATAAATAAGATCCAACTCAAGTCCCGTGAAAAATGGAGCACTGCTTCTCAAAATAAGTCTTCAAAGGAAAGTCCCAATGGCATACAACATGCCATTGGGACTTTCCTTTGAAGACTTATTTTGAGAAGTGACGCTTCATCCTCATTATTGTCTTCAGTTACGTTACGTTTTGAGAGCGGCTGCTCCTTTTGATTTCTGTGTACCACTGAATTGAGCTATGTGCTGGGGATTTTGGTAAATAGAATACTATATGTTTTCTTGATAATACACTTTGACATTACGCATAGATTGTTTTGTGTTCGGGCCAATTCTCTCACACCAGAAGCAACTTGCAGTTTCTCAGGTCGCTCCTGACGGGACAAAAATAAATAAATAAACAAACAAATAATAAATGTTTGGAATCCGCCCTGAGTCCCTTTGGGAAGGTAGAGCGGAATATAAATAAAGATTATTATTATTATTATCTTGTCTGCTTGAGGCGTGAATGTTGCCACTGGTCACCTTGATTAGCATTGAGTAGCCTTGCAGCTTCAAAGCCTGGCTGCTTCCTGCCTGGGGGAATCCTTTGTTGGCATGAAACAACCAGGGCCAGCTAACACCTCCCAACAAAGGATCCCCCAGGCAGGAAGCAGACAGACTCTGGAGCTGCAAGGCCATTTGAATATTTCAAAGCCTGGCTGCTTCCTGCCTGAGGGAATCCTTTGTTGGCATGAAACAACCAGGGCCAGCTAACACCTCCCAACAAAGGATCCCCCAGGCAGGAAGCAGACAGACTCTGGAGCTGCAAGGCCATTTGAATATTTCAAAGCCTGGCTGCTTCCTGCCTGAGGGAATCCTTTGTTGGCATGAAACAACCAGGGCCAGCTAACACCTCCCAACAAAGGATCCCCCAGGCAGGAAGCAGACAGACTCTGGAGCTGCAAGGCCATTTGAATATTTCAAAGCCTGGCTGCTTCCTGCCTGAGGGAATCCTTTGTTGGCATGAAACAACCAGGGCCAGCTAACACCTCCCAACAAAGGATCCCCCAGGCAGGAAGCAGACAGACTCTTGAGCTGCAAGGCCATTTGAATATTTCAAAGCCTGGCTGCTTCCTGCCTGAGGGAATCCTTTGTTGGCATGAAACAACCAGGGCCAGCTAACACCTCCCAACAAAGGATCCCCCAGGCAGGAAGCAGACAGACTCTGGAGCTGCAAGGCCATTTGAATATTTCAAAGCCTGGCTGCTTCCTGCCTGAGGGAATCCTTTGTTGGCATGAAACAACCAGGGCCAGCTAACACCTCCCAACAAAGGATCCCCCAGGCAGGAAGCAGACAGACTCTGAAGCTGCAAGGACAGTGAATAAAGAACACCACTGGGAAAACAGAGAATTCCAGACATGAAATAATCAGGGCCAGGTAACACCTCCCAACAAAGGATTTCCCCAGGCAGGAAGAAGACAGGCTTTGAGGCTGCAAGGCTATTCAATGGTAATCAAGCAGGCCAATTGCAACATTCACACATGGATCAAGTAGAAAAAAGTTCTTTCTCCCATTCTGGTCCTTCCACAGATATATAAAGAGAAGCCTCCCACAGGAAGCAGACAGACTCTGGAGCTGCAAGGCCATTTGAATATTTCAAAGCCTGGCTGCTTCCTGCCTGAGGGAATCCTTTGTTGGCATGAAACAACCAGGGCCAGCTAACACCTCCCAACAAAGGATCCCCCAGGCAGGAAGCAGACAGACTCTGAAGCTGCAAGGCCATTTGAATATTAATTCAATACTAATAATAATATATCTAGGATATAATAGGAGGAATACTAATAACAAATAATAGTAATATAGCTGAGGATATTGTAAGAGTTATAAGACTAGGAAACTCACCTGTCAGAGAAGCAGCCACCAAGCAGCCGCCTCCTGCACAACCCGGATCTACTTCCGCTTCCGCTTGCCTTCCGCGGCCCCTATTGGTGGAAGCCTGCGCCACGCGGCTTTCCCTCGAGTGACGTCAGCAGCCTTCAAGAGGTAAGGACGACACGCCTCGAGGAACACAACCAACACTTCCGGTTCCCAGTGGACACCCTTCTAGGCTGCAATTACCACGCTGGGGAATGAATGAATGAATGCATCATTGTGACACCACGGGAGTTGTTCAAGCTGGGTTTAGAAAAGGCAGAGGAACGAGAGGCCAGATTGCCAATATCCGGGTGCTGCTGGATAATGGAGAAAGGCAGTGAGTTTCAGAAAAACATCTACTTCTGCTTCATTGACTCTTCTAAAGCCTTTGACTGTGTGTCCAGAGGAGGGCGACTAAAATGATAAAGGGTCTGGAGAACAAGCCCTATGAGGAGTGGCTGAGAAGGCTGAGAGGAGATATGATAGCCATGTATAAATATGGGAGAGGCAGCCACAGGGAGGAGGAGGGAGCAAGCTTGTTTTCTGCTTCCTTGGAGACTAGGACGCAATGGAACAATGGCTTCAAACTACAAGAGAGGAGATTCCATCTGAACATGAGGAAGAACTTCCTGACTGTGAGAGCTGTTCAGCAGTGGAACTCTCTCCCGGAGTGTGGTGGAGGCTCCTTCTTTGGAAGTTTTGAAACAGAGGCTGGATGGCCATCTGTCAGGGGTGCTTTGAATGCAACATTCCTGCTTCTTGGCAGAATGGGGTTGGACTGGATGGCCCGTGAGGTCTCTTCCAACTCTTTGATTCTATGATTCTATGAAACTGTGGCAAGTTCTTGGTGGGATGGGCATCCCAAGCCCCCTTCCCTCTCTCCTGAGGAATCTGACCAAGGACCAAGGAGCAACAGTCAGAACTGACCACGGAACAACAGACTGGTTCAAGATTGGGAAAGGCGTCCGGCAAGGCTGCATCCTCTCACCCAACCTTTTTAACTTGTATGCAGAACACATCATGCAGGATGTGCGGGGCTTGAGGAATGCAAGGCTGGGGTGAAAATTGCTGGAAGAAACATTAACAACCTCAGATATGCAGATGACACCACCCTGATGGCCGAAAGCGAGGAGGAGCTGAGGAGCCTTCTAATCAAGGTGAAAGAAGAAAGCGCAAAAGCTGGGTTGCAGCTAAACATAAAAAAAACCAAGATTATGGCAACAAGAATGATTGACAACTGGAAAATAGAGGGAGAAAATGTGGAGGCCGTGACAGACTTTGTATTTCTAGGCGCAAAGATTACTGCAGATGCAGACTGTGGCCAGGAAATCAGAAGACGCTTCCTTCTTGGGAGGAGAGCAATGTCCAGTCTCGATAAAATAGTAAAGAGTAGAGACATCAGACTGGCAACAAAGATCCATTGCCTAGTCAAAGCCATGGTCTTCCCTGTAGTCACCTACGGATGTGAGAGCTGGACCTTAGGGAAGGCTGAGCGAAGGAAGAGAGATGCTTTTGAGCTGTGGTGTTGGAGGAAAGTTCTGAGAGTGCCTTGGACTGCGAGAAGATCCAACCAGTCCATCCTCCAGGAAATAAAGCCCGACTGCTCATTGGAGGGAAGGATACTAGAGACAAAGTTGAAGTACTTTGGCCACATCATGAGGAGACAGCAAAGCCTAGAGAAGACAATGATGCTGGGGAAAGTGGAAGGTAAAAGGAAGAGGGCCGACCAAGGGCAAGATGGATCCTTGAAGGGACTGGACTGACCTTGAAGGAGCTGGGGGTGGTGACAGCCAACAGGGAGCTCTGGCGTGGGCTGGTCCATGAGGTCACGAAGAATCGGAGACGACTGAACGAATGAACAACAACAACTTGTTTTATCTGGTATATATATATATAGAGAGAGAGAGAGAGGGCTGGGGCCTCCCCAAACTACATCTCCCAGGGTCCCACAAAAGTGGTGTCAAACCGTATTAATTCCCCAGTGTAGATGGCTGCACCCATGGCTGGATAAATGTAGTTTCTGGTTGCTAGTTTAATATATATATTTATCCAGCCATGGGTGCAGCCATCTACACTGGGGAATTAATACGGTTTGACACCACTTTTGTGGGACCCTGGGAGATGTAGTTTGGGGAGGCCCCAGCCCTCTCTCTCTCTCTCTATATATATATATATATATACACACACACACACACACACACACACACACACACACACACACACACACACACCCCTAATTTATAATATACCCATTACTATATATCCCATACCATAAATAATACATTGACTTGGGAAGTTTTAGTTTTCAGGATAGTTAGCTTGCAGAAAAATACTGTTATATAACTAAATAGGAAGAAAATGCTGCCATCGTGTGGCCAAAAAGAAAATGAGCAATTGCAGCATTTTTCTAAACTAGATTTATTATTTACTAGCTGTCCCCTGCCACGTGTTGCTGTGGCCCCGTCTGGTGATCTGGAAAACAAAGTAATGAGAAAGTGTTGGTTTCCAATATATGTAATTCCTTTCTGCTTGTGAGTAAACAGTATTTCTTGCTGTTTCTTTGTCAGTGTTGATGTGGAGAGCGTCTGGTTTGCCTACTCTGGAATATGCAACATATCATAGTCCTTCTTAAGGCGTCCCTTTCAAATCTCTGATACTATATCTGTGTGTGTGTGTGAGAATCATATCTATCTATCTATCTATCTATATTTATGACTGGATGGCTCTTTGTCAGGAGGGCTCTGATTACGTTTTCTTGCCCTGATGAAGGGAGTTGGACTGGATGGCCTTAAGTATTTTCTGTTGGTCAGGGGGGTTCTGTGTGGGAAGTTTGCCCCATTTCTATCATTTGTGGGTTTCAGAATGGTCTTTAATTGTAGTGAACTATGAATCCCAGCAACTACAACTCCCAAATGTCAAGGTCTATTTTCCTCAAACTCCATCTGTGTGCATATTTGGGCATATGGAATATTCGTGCCAAGTTTGGTCCAGATCCATTGTTGTTTGAGTCCACAGTGCTCTCTGGATGTGGGTGAACTATAATTCCCAAACTCAAGGTCAATGTCCACCAAACCCTTCCAGTTTTTTCTGTTGGTCATGGGAGCCCTGCGTGCTAAGTTTGGCCCAATTCCATCATTGGTGGAGTTCAGAAGGCTCTTTGATTGTAGGTAAACTATAAATCCCAGCAACTACAATTCCCAAAGGACAAAATCAATTATTTTGAGTGGAGGACATACATTGGGTTGTTAGGTGTCTTGTGTCCAAATTTGGTGTCAATTCCCCCAGGGGTTTTTGAGTTCTGATGGTATCACAAACGGACATTACATTTTTATTTATATAGATTTATTTACAGTATTTATATTCTGCCCTTCTCACCCCGTATGGGACTCAGGGCGGATCACAATGTACATATACATGGCAAACATTCAATGCCATAGACACACAACATATATAGACACAAACACAGAGGCTATTTAACATTCCAGTTTTTCCAGATTCATGAGGGTATGCTTTATTCCGGCCACCAGGGGGAGCTGCCGCTTCACCATCCACTTGTGACAGCGAGTCCTTGATGAAATACTTCCTCATTCTTCCGCACATTACTGGAAGGTTTTATGGTGTCGTAAATTAGTTAAATTAGCCTCCCCGCATAAAGTGGTATCTAAATTTCCTACTTGACAGATGCAGCAAGCTAGACTATTAATGGTCAGGAGCTCACTCTGACCCGGGCTGGCTTAGAACTTTTGTGACACCGAGTCCTTGATGGAGTACTTCCTCATTCTTCCACACACTGCTGGAAGGTTTTACGGTGTTGTAAATTAGTTAAATTAGCCTCCCCACATAAAGCGGTATCTAAATTTCCTACTTGACCGATGCAACAATCTTTCAGGCTGTGTAGGTCAACAGCAAGCTAGACTATTAATGATCAGGAGCTTACTTCAACCGGGACTGGCTTCAAACTCTTGTGACACTGAGGTCTTGATGGAGTACTTCCTCATTTTTCCGCACACTGCTGGAAGGTTTTATGGTGTTGTAAATTAGTTAAATTAGCCTCCTCACATAAAGCGGTATCTAAATTTCCTACTTGACAGATGCAACTGTCTTTCAGGCTGCATAGGTCAACAGCAAGCTAGACTATCAATAGTCAGGAGCTCATTCCAACCCAGGCTGTCTTCGAACTCTTGTGACACTGAGTCCTTGATGGAGTACTTCCTCATTCTTACACAGACTGCTGGAAAGTTTTATGGCATTGTAAATTAGTTAAATTAGTCTCCTCAAGTGGTACCTAAATTTCCTACTTGACAAATACAAGTGTTTTCTGTGATCTACAGAGATCTACAGAAATACTTGCAGCAACACCTCAGCAAGTGAGAGTCTAAGGGTGGACTAGATGGCCAATATGGTTCCTTCCAACTCTAGGATTCTATAATAATAATAATAATAATAATAATAATAATAATAATAATAAGGCAGAGGTTGGATGGTCATCTGTCAGGGGTGTTTTGATGGTGCTTTTCCTGCATGAAGGCAGAAGGGGGTGGACTAGATGGCCTCTGGGGTTCCTTCCAACTCTAGGATTCAATAATAATAATAATAATAATAATAATAATAATAATAATAATAATAGAGGCTGGATGGCCATCTGTTGGGGGTGCTTTGACTTTGCTTTTCCTGCATGAAGGCAGAAGGGGGTGGACTAGATGGCCTCTGGGGCTTCTTCCAACTCTAGGATTCAATAATAATAATAATAATAATAATAATAATAATAATAATAATAATAATAGGCTGGATGGCCATCAGTTGGGGGTGCTTTGATTGTGCTTTTCCTGCATGAAAGTAGAAGGGGGTGGACTAGATGGCCTCTGGGGCTCCTTCCAACTCTAGGATTCAGTAATAATAATAATAATAATAATAATAATAATAATAATAATAATAATAAAGTAGAGGCTGGATGACCATCTGTTCGGAATGATTTGAGTGTGCTTTTCCTGCATGAAGGCAGAAGGGGGTGGACTGCATGGCCTCTGGGGTCCCTTCCAACTCTAGGATTCAATAAT